TCTTTTATTCAAATATACCCACTCTGAAAGAAATACTTCCCAGGACCACATAGTACCTTGAACGCCTTAAACCCTCGATATACCTACCCAGAAATAGAGAAAGCATAAAGGTTTGGAAATCCTTTAAAAATTTCCTGGTGGCAGCCAGAATATCCAGTAGAATAAAATATAAAGAACACTTTTAAAGTAAAACCAGACCTCCCCAGTTAAGGGGTCATCACAGTGACCATCCATCCCACCCCCCACGTGCGACACACAGTGCCCAGGGGAGGGAAGTTCCCTCCCTGTGAAGGGGGATCGTGCTTTCTGAACGTCCTCAGTTATGGGGATGCAACCTACACATCTATTTGTTCATTTGGAATGCTTAAAGGTTGTAAACACATAAGGATTACTAGCTGAACCTCAGGACACACAGAGGAGAAGTTGAGGCAGGATTCACTGCTCAAATGACCGCTGCAAATTGGCCCAGAGAAGTGTTTTTCGGCTGTTCAGGAAGGCGAGGAGGATTCATTTTTAGTAAGAAAAAGACCCTGTTTTCAGGAAACGTCCCGACTTCTCTGATCTACCACACATAAGTCGTGTTTGTTTGTTTTTTTTAATTGAGGGGTTTGGGGTAAAGAAAAAGCCACCAGCAGGTGCACTTACTGATCCACAGGTGGATGTGGTAGAGGAAGAACCGCCCCAAGACTTGGTCCAGCGCTCGGTTCATCTTCAAGCCCGCCGGCACGCCCATCAGCCACTGCAGGAGGTCTTGGAGCTGCTGGGCAACGAGCTGAAGGAGAGAAAACAGCACGGGGTTAGGCGGGGAGCGGCTCCTCTGCGCGCGGGGACACGTCCAGCTGCTGGCTGCTGGACCGGACCGTCAGTCAACCCGGGGCCAGGGTTCTCCACTCTGGAGCAGCAGCAGCAGCAGCCGGGGTCTTCAACGGCCTCTGCCGCCGGAGAGCTGTTTACCGCCAATGATGGGATGAGGTCTAGAGGTTCTGCCTGCGAACACGCGCTGCCATTGAGTCAAGGGATGGTCCACCACAACGGTGTGTGTCTGAACACGTGACTCTGCCTTACAGGCTCAGACCTTTGAGACACTCAGCCCAGTTTGTCTGCTCCCTCCGGGGAAGAGGTCTTTTACACCCTTTACGCGGAGGTGCCGGGGATTGAACCTGGGACCTTCTGAATGCAAAGCAGGTGCTCTGCCGCTGAGCCACAGCCCCACCCCAAAAGGAAATCTAATACTGAAGGTGCTTGATACGGAGTCAGACCATAGGTCTTTTTGCTGTTGTTCAGTCGCACAGTCGAGTCCGACTCTCCGCGACCCCATGGACCACATCATGCCGGGCCCTCCTGTCTTCTGTCGTGCTCTGGAGTTAGCACAGGCTTTCGAGTAGGAGCCGCCGCCACCACCATCATTACGCCATCATCATTATGTCACCATCGTCACCATCTTTCTATCTACGCCCCCCTCATTAGTCCCACAAATTGACCATCTTCAGAGCAGGGACTATTGGGGGTGTGAGATGTGTCTGGCAGAGGACAATCGCTGTATGGACGTATATTGTTGCTGCTATATTTATTGTTATTATTGTTGCTTGTTCTTAACAAGTCAATATTATCCATTCTGAATGGCAGCGGCTCTCCAGGAACAGGCCTTTCCCATCACCTACCACTGGATGAAGAAGGAGGAGGAGGAGAGGAAGAAGAAGAGTTGGTTTTATACCCCGCCCTTCCCTACCCGGAGGAATCTCAGAGCAGCTTACAATCGCCTTCCCTTCCTCTCCCCATAACAGACACCCTGTGAGGCAGGTGGGGCTGAGGGAGCGCTGAGAGAACTTGTGACTGACCCGAGGTCACCCAGCTGGCCAGATTGAACCTGGGACCTTCCAAGCTGAAACACCGTCACAGAGCTATGAGCCCCTCCCCAGAAGTAAATTGTGCGCATTTTTTCCCTGTCCCATCAACCAAGGAGCTCGGAGATGATGGGCAAGCCTCCCCCCCCCCCCCCGTTATCCCCACAACAACTCTCAGGAGTCGGTCAGCTAGCAAGTCTCAGGAGTAGGTCAACCCTCAGGAGTAGGTGAGCCAGTGAGCTCTGCGGCTGATTCGGGATTTGAACTCGGGGTCCTTGAAGTCCAATTCCAGTACACTGAGACTACCACACCCCTCTGGCTCTGCTCTGGCTGCGTTCATGCAGACTCTCACTTCTACCGCAAAAGGGGAAATAGTTCCATGTGTACGCTGCAAAGGGCAAAGGCGTTTGGATTACCCAGCCATTTTCATCAGCAGGATGGGATTAGTATTTTCCCGCATAAGGAAAAAGTACACTCGATAATATCAAAACTCAGCAGCAGAGAAGGACTGAGCAGATGCTCGGTTTAGAAAAAAGACAGCGGTGGGGAGCAGGGATATATGGAAGCAATTTATAAAATTATACGCAATGTGGGGAAGATTTCCACCCTCCTGCGTGATGCTAGGGCTTGGGAGTCTGCCTGAGAAGCTAACAAGCTGCGGAGTCAGGAGAGACAAAAGGAAGGATTTCTTCGTGCAACTTATAAGTATGTGCCAGTGTGGTATAGTGATCAGAGTGTTGGACGAAGAGCTGGGAGTCCCGGGTTCGAATCTGCACTCTGCCATGGAAGCTTGCTGGGTGACCTTGGGCCAGTCAGACATTCTCAGTCACAAGCAGAAGAAGAAGAAGAGGAGGAGGAGGAGGAGGAGGAGGAAGAGGAGGAAGAAGAAGACCCGCTCTTCACTACCCCAAGGAGTCTTGGATCATCTTCCAATCTCCTTCCCTTCCTCTCCCCAAAACAGACACTCTGTGAGGAGGAGAAGGAGGAGAAGTAGAAGACCTCCTTTTCACTACCCGAAGGAGAGCATCTTACAATCGCCTTCCCTTCCTCTCCCCACAACCGACACCCTGTGAGGCAGGTGGGGCTGAGAGAACTCTGAGAGAACTGTGACTGACCCAAGGTCACCCAGCTGGCTGCATGTGGAGGAGGAGTGGGGAATCAAACCCGGTTCTCCCAGATTAGCGTCCGCCACTCTTAAACCACTACACCACAGCTGGTGACCTACCTCACCAGGCTGTTGTTGTGAGGAGAGCATGGAGGGAAGGAGAACAATGTCAAAAGCTGCTTTGGGTCCCCGCTGGAGAGACAAAACAGGGTAGAAGTATCTAAATAAATTACGGCATCGACTGTCACTCGATGGAGGCTCATGATTCGAGAGCTGACAAGCAAACAGATTCTTCTGCTTACTGCGCGTGCCCAAACAGCCCAGGTTGGGTCTGTTCTTCTGAGCAGAGCGGGATACGTTTAGGAAAGGTCCCATACGAATAAACAGGCGTCTCAGAGATGAATTCTGGAGATTTCTAATTTTGGAACTCTTTGCCTATTTGCTGCAAAGCTTTTAAGAGACAGTCACAAGCTAGAACTAGCTTGTCTGCACCAGTGTTCCCTCTAAGCTGAGTTAGTGTGAGCCAGCTCACAGTTTTTTTAGCCTCCGGCTCACGCATTTTTGCCTTAGCTCAGGGAGGGTGGCTGCAGAGCAAACTAACGGATGCAGTAGCCAAAGTCGCTCACTTGCAGCTTTAATGCCAGTGGCTCACAAAGTGGAATTTTTGCTCACAAGACTCCACAGCTTAGAAGGAGCATTGCACGCACACACACACACCCCCCCGCACAAGGCCTGGCCACAATCCAAAACGGAGCTGCTTTCTCCACCGACTTGCTCTTTGGGGAGACCCGGGCTCGACTTCATAAATAGATCTCATTCAATATTAAAAGCGTTTGGGCGACAGCAGGGCCACAAATCGCTTCCCCCGGAATGAAAGATTTAAGCATCCTGAAAGCCACCTTGGAGCAAAGCGTGCAGCGTGGGAAGGCACGGGCCTGGAGCCAGCCCCCATGTCTTTGGTCGCCCGTTCGGCCTGCCATTCCCAGCCACTACCTGGCTCCCGCTCATGAGGAGGGGGACAAACATCGTTACGAGGCCCACATTTATAATACTTCGCTAGGCCTTCAACTCCCAAGTGTGTGTCTACTGTTGACACGAGCGGGCCCAAGAGATCTGGCTGCACCCCTCAGCTTTCCACAACGGCTGCTCAAGGCCAAGGAGAAGACATGAGATCCCTGGGCCAGCACCCGGGGGGGAGGAGGAGTAAGAAGAAGAAGAGGAGGAGGAGGAGATTGGATTTATACCCCACCCTTCACTTGGAGTCTCAGAGTGGCTTACAATCGCCTTTCCCTTCCCCTCCCCACAACAGACACCCTGTGAGGTAGGTGGGGCTGAGAGAGCTCTCTCAAGAACTGCCCTTGAGAGAACTTGTGACTGACCCAAGGTCACACCAGCATACCTAACAAGGGATACTCCAAAATTCAGCTCATTCTGTCACTTTGATCTAGAAGAAGTTGGATTTATACCCTGCCCTTCACTATCCAAAGGTGTCTCAGAGCGGCTTACGAACTCCTTTCCCTCCCCCTCCCCACAACAGACACCCTGTGAGGAAGAAGAGGAAGAAGAAGAAGAGACTGGATTTATACCCCGCCCTTCGCTACCCGAAGGAGTCCCAGAGCGGCTTACAAACTCCTTTCCCTTCCCCTCCCCACAACAGAAGACACCCTGTGAGGTAGGTGGGGCTGAGAGAGCTCTGACAGAGACTGCTCTTTTTCAAGGACAGCCCTTATCAGAACTATGGCTTGCCCAAGGTCATCCAGCCAGGTGCAAGTGGAGGAGAAGTGGGGAATCAAAACTGGTTCTTAACCAGAGTGGCTTTCCCTTTGCCTCCCCACAACAGGCACCCTGTGAGGTCGGTGGGGCTGAGAGAGCTCTGGCAGGAACTGCTCTTTTTCAAGGACAGCTCTTATCAGAACCACGGCTTGCCCAAGGTCATCCAGCCAGGTGCAAGTGGAGGAGTGGGGAATCGAACCCGGTTCTCCCAGATTAGAGTCTGCGCACTTAACCACGACACCAAACTTTAAACCCATTATTTCAAGTCCTCTCCTCTGCTGCCAACAGGAACCACTCCCTGCCCTCCTCTAAGGGAGAGCCCTTCAAATACATCAAGAGAGCCATCCTGTCCCCCCTCAAACTCCCCTTCTCCAGACTGGACATCCCCAAGAGTCTCGGCCCTTCCTCCGGCACCCCAGAGCCAGCAGTGCCGGGGAGAACCAATGCCAGGAAAAGCACAGCTTGACTCTCCCCGCCCCCAAAGAGATGCCAAACGGAACTTGCAGAGCTGGCAGTGGAGCAAAGGTGACATCGGCGCTGTGAGCTGTGACCTTGCGCTGGTCTCCTTTGCCTCTGGGGACAGGACCCCCGGGAATGGAGTGGAGGGAGCCATCGGTGGGCCCGTCGGTGACCGGGAGGTGCCAGACGGCAGAAGGAGAAAGGGAGGCAGGCGCCTGGAGACCTCAGGGACAAGGGAGGCGGAAGGGCTTTTCGCGAAGGCAGCTGAGAAAACACAGAAATGTGGGTCCTGCACAGAACGGGTGGACGTAAGACTCGTTCTGCAATAAGACAGGGACAGCGGCCGTCTCTAGGAACTGGAGGACAACCAGCTATTCAACTTATCTCTTGCCTTTCCTCCAGGGGACAGGAGATTCCCTATCCAGTCCTGTGAGGCAGCCTGTCCTGAAAGGTGCTAAGGGAGACCACCCGCGTGGCACTTGAAATCGGCCCGATCTGCTCTTTTCCGGCTTGCTTCAGACGAACCGAGGCACGAAACGGCAGTCGCAGAGCTCGACGGGCCAACACGCGTGCCGGAATGGCCCACACTTGAGAGAGCAGCCGTCCTCCGGCAAAAGAGCGCGCCTACGAATTGGGCGAGTCACAGATAGCTTGAGAGCGCTCCAGCTCTGGAATGAGACGCACCATTCAGCCGCTGGGCAATGCTCCCTCCAAGCTGTGGAGTCTCGTGAGCAAAAATTCTGCTTTGTGAGCTACTGGCCTTAAAGTTGTGAGCGAGCGATCTGGCTGCTGCATATATTAGTTAGCTCTGGAGCCCTCCTTCCTGAGCGGAGACAAAAACGTGTGAGCTGGAGGCTAAAAAACTGTGAGCTAGCTCACACTAGCTCAGCTTAGAGGGAACACTGCCGCCGGGCCTAAAGGCTGGCGGTGAAGGAGATCGATCGTCCGGCTGGAAAGCGAAGAGACACCAGCTGCCTTTCCCTGTGCAATGGCCCGACCACAACCTCTGATACTCATCTGGAAACCAAGCTACTCTCGCCCATGGAGGTTCACAGCCAGATTCTTACTGACTGCAGATAAGCAATTGATAGGGAAACCCACACTGCCCAATGATGCACAGCCCACGACCAGTGTTCCCTCGAAGCTGAGTTAGTGTGAGTTAGCTCACAGGTTTTTAGCCTCCGGCTCGCACATTTTTGCCTTAGCTCAGGAAAGATGGCTACAGAGCAAACTAATTTATGCAGCAGCCAAATTGCTCTCTCACAACTTTAATGCCAGTCGCTCACAAAGTAGGATTTTTGCTCACAAGACTGCACAGCTTAGAGGGAACATTGCCCACGGACATCACACAATGCACCCATCTATCAAGGCTCAGAAATGTGCACCTTGAATGGCAGAGGGTCTCAGTGCCGACGTTCTTCGCATCATTTGCTATCTGATCTCTCTAACTGGAGGTGCCGGGGACTGAACCGGGGGCCTTCTGCATGCGAAGCCAGCACTCTGCCACTGAGCGACGGTCCCTCTCCTCCACGCAGACCATGTCCGTTAACGGTTGGAGCCACAACCTCAAGCCCAGCTGGACTTACATCAGCCATCGGGATGAGCGCATTAGCAAGATGACCGATCCGATCCTTCTGGTACAGCCAGCACATCAGCAGGATTCCCAGGGCCACGTCCAGGAGGAGGGAAACAAAGATGTTGGCTTTCCTGAAAACAGGGTAGAAAGAGTTAAACTGAGGTGTCGGATAAAAAGATGACAAAAGTCAGGACAGGGACGACATCTTTTATAGGATGCGGAGAGCAGACCAAAAATTGTCCGACCCACTGTAAGTCCTCGTGGCATGGTGTGACCTACCATGGTAACACAGTGCCTGGAAAGACAATGTTCCTAAGGTTTTGGGTTTTAAGAATGATAAATAAATTGGTCTCTATTGGAAATGGAATGAATTGATATTACATATGGGTAGAAGGTATGAATGTTAGTTTTGAAAAACGTGTGATCAATTAGGGGGAAAGGACTGTAGTATTTAGGTTTTTTTATTTCTGGTCTTTAAGGTATAAATTATATTTTGTAAGTGTGTATTTATGAAAAGGCTTTGTTTTGTTTGTATCGTTGGGCGTTGGATTCAGGCAGGGGTCATTTC